TCTCGAATACGCGTCGAGCGTGCTGACCACTACACCAAAAAGGCGGGAGAAATACATTATAGACTCTTCCTTTTAAAGGGTGACTTGGTTTTAGGAGACCTATTCGACTAATCCTGGTGGTGAAGAATCATCATTCACCACTTTTTAGTTCAGACGCCGTAGAAACTTTTTTTTTTTTTTTGAAGCAGGAGATTGAAAAATAAGGAATGCCCTTGCCGAGACTCGAACCACGGACCTCTCGAATACGCGTCGAGGGTGCTGACCGCTACACCACGAAGGCATGCTAAGAAGGCGGGAGAAATACCTTATACGGTTACAGTAAGAGAAGTCGGGAATAAACTACTGGCACCAATCCATACTATTAATTCTTTAAAACGAAATTTTCAGTAAGAATACGTATTAGTATTGACATTACAGTATCCAATAGATTTTTGAGTCACCATTTGACGGTAACTGAGCCAGACGAATAAGTTCCTTTATAAACTCCTGTGGTACTTCACATGAATGAGTGTTGACTTCAGTTTCAAAGAGCGACATAGGAAGAATGAAAGAGAAGGGAAGAGAACAAAAGAACGGATTCTAAATGTTAGAACATAATAACATTAGATAATGGCTGAAACATAAATAATGGAAGTAAGGTGAAATCACATGTTTGGAAAGTTTCTTAAAATACCGTTCACACTGGGGTTTATCTGAGCTGACGGAGACAACTGACGTAGCCGACCCATCTCCAAAAAACATTTTTCCCCCATAGGGAAACAAGTTGAAAAGTTTGAAATGCAGGCATAGCGGAGCTAGTCGACACATGGAACTGACTCCCTTAGCTCAGATAAACCCCAGTGTGAACGACTCTTTAGTGCGAAAACATCTGCCAGGTCTAGGTAGCTTCACTAAAAGTCTCCATAATATACTTTTTAAATAATAAAGCAAAGGAAAGCAAAATGGATGAAAGGCTAGTACGAAAATACAACTACGAATTGATTATACCAAATAAAAATAATCAAATGACTACAATTTAACAATAAACTAGCTTTCGAGTGGAAATAAAATATATGTAATAGAGGAAATGGAAAATTATGCAAATATTTTTTTTTTTAATTTCGGACCCTGGCCTTGAAAGGTTGGGGGCAATACTCGAAGGTGGAAAATAGGCGAGGAAATACGGTGTTCAAAACAGCCAAACATGAAAACTCTGAATATTTTCAGTGGTACCTTTGATATGGCAGGTGAAGCAGCGTGCAGGCACAGTTCTGAAGACGACCGATCTCTGCGAGTGGTACTGCAGCTGTGATTGCGGTACCGATGCCTGTGAGGTGGCGGTACTTGAAACCGGGGAACAGAAAGAGATTGCGTAGAACCAGAAAAGTGTCGCTGCTCGTCTTCCTCGGGCAGTATGTCATCTTCGTACCTATATAATAAATAAAGCAATTAAAAATGTACAAGAATAAGGGAAAAAAGAATATCTCTAAAAATATACTGTAGGCAGTTATTCTTATATCAGAACAGAAGCTTTCTAGTTACCTACCATTACAGTATACTTATAGTAGTTCTTGTGTGAAATTAAATGCTACGTAATTATACTCAGAGAGTATTTTATACTTTGTTTTTATACACATTGGACACCGAAAATATTAGATTAATCTTTTGAAAATTACTTTTATTAGTAATACGTGATTGTTTTGATAATATTATTCAAAAGTAAGCATTTTCAAACCATAAGATATATAAGGAATCCATGATATTTAGCTGACAGCACGTTTACATTTAGACGCAAACATGTGACATTTAGTGAAGCGTGTCCATATTTATCCCATAAGAGGCCTTTTCCAAGGTATAAAAAGGTTCATGGATAGTGTCTTTTGTTAAAAAGAGACTAGAGATTTTTAAAGGACAGATTTTAGAGCTAGACAAATTTTTAGATTAAGATGAAAACAATGAAAAGTACTGAGGGATTAATCAGTCTATCGTAAAACTGTCGCTAACAATAAGATTTAGAACCAATTGTGGTTACGTGTGACGCACCGAGGCACTCATCACATCTGCTCTTTCGTTTGATGTCGTTTCGATTGATTCTTTACAAACTACGTTTCGTTTTTGTAAAGAAGGTAATAAATTAACTATTGTTGTTGTTGTTACATCTTTTCCTAGCATTTTGAAAAATTTTAAAATTAGGAACCTGACTTATACAGAAGAGTAAGCATTAGGTTATTTTCAAAGTAATGAGCTCCTACCATAAAAATAAAATGCATTAGTGAACGCGATATGGTCAGCTGAAAATGGCCGATAAAACAGTAACAGACTGGAACATTTACTCGCGGAAAGTTTGTAATCTTAACGCTTTAAACAGGGCTTTCGCTAAAAATCGGAGGGCCTAACAAAGTAGTCTAAATCGAGCCTTTTTACGAAGCGCAAAAACGAAGTGTAATAATTGTTTATTTAATAAAGAGGAATCAGTTCTCTCAGAATTCTGCAGGAACGATTGCAGACATTTTAACTTGAATCTCCGGCAACTTTCCTCGTTCGGTGATCCCCAGCTTTCACGATCAAAACAGGATAATAATGTACCGAATTAAATTTAAAAATTAGGCACAGAAGCAACTTAAAAGTTATAAATTTTTAAATTTACTACTTATCTAGCATTAAATGAAGACAAAAATGGGGTATTTTTGTATAAGCCTTCAAGATATGTACCTTAGAAACGGCCTTTTGAAGGATAAATATGAAGTGAGTGACGGGGGACGTGGGCACCATTTTTATACGATTGTGAATCGCTTTAGCGGCACGTCTACCATACTCTAAAGCTGTACATAATATTTGACATAATACTTGTGTTCAGTTGACATCAGTACTTGACATAATAGTGTACATAATACTTGCTAATACTTGACATAATACAATACTTGGGATAATATGGACAAACATTACTAAAACATTATTGCACGCTTTTACTTAAATTCATGTTTTGTCAAATAAATGTGCCATCTGCTAAAAGTGTCGTCGGCGAAATGGACGTGTCATCTAAGACTGCCCTGTCGGTCAACAGCTGTCCGTTAAGTGCTCGCGATCGAAAATATACATCTTAGATTAGTTACTTTAAAGAAATAATACCTAAATTACATTGACACTGTTTAAAACCTTTATTTGACGAAAGTTATTTTGGAAACAAAAAGAAATATACTATAAAAGCTAATAACAATCACATTTAATTTAAAGATGGCTCGTAAGTAATGATGTCTGCTAAGATTTTACTTAGATGGATTCGTATCTTTGCCATGCGTGTCCTAAAATTCTTAATAAATCATTGATAACCTTGAGCTTTTATGCTTCGTTTTTAAATCTCTGTAGGATTGTTACGTGTTTCTAAAGAAGTAGATAAACTGTCATTTGGCCATTGATTTCAGAAAAGAAACTTAAAGACAACAATATGAATAATAAATTCATTACATTTATTCAAATTACATATGAAATTTAGCGTGAAGAACTTTAGTAAGAGATTAGAATGAACATTCTGTAAAACGGCCACACGCGGTTCACAAATAGCTTTAATTTACTGTGAAGTCTGTCTTCTTAGTGCAGCGCATTGTTAATGCAGTCGCTAGTGGGTTATAGTCAGCAACCTGTGATTCGGGAAAAAACATCAGACCAGAGCAAATCTGGAGACGTTCGGCTTGCCATGTGTTTTGAGTCCCTCCTTACGGCACAGACACTATACGCTTACGAACATTCATGCCCTCTTCGGAATTCGAATCTGAACCCATCGGTATGGCAGTTAGCGTCACTAATCATCCTACTAGCTGGTGACGAGCAAAATACATAGGGTGATGTACAGTTATGTAAATTCTTAACGCATTAGTCTCTTTCATGAGTAGTGGCCTCACGCAGACATGTGACATTTAGTGAAACGTGTCCACATTTATCCCATAAGAGGCCGTTTCCAAGGTACACAAATATTCATGGATAGCGTCCTTTATTAAGAAGAGACTAAAGATTTTTAAAGGTTAGATTTTAGAGCTAGACAAATTTTTAGATTAAGGTGAAAACAATGAAAAGTACTGAGGAATTAATCAGTCTATCCTGAAACTGTCGTTAACAATAAGATTTAGAACCAATTGTGGTTACGTGTGACGCACTCATCACATCTGCTCTTTCGTTTGATGTCATTTCGATTGATTCTTTACAAACTACGTTTCGTTTTTGTAAAGAAGGTAATAAATTAACTGTTGTTGTTGTTGTTGCATATTTTCCTAGCATTTTGAAAAATTTTAAAATTAGGAACCTGCCTTATATATAAGAGTAAGTATTAGGTTATTTTCAAAGTAATGAGTAAAGTAATTCTACAGGGGAGTAAAATAATTCAAGTGATAAAATAATTCAAGTAAGTAATTAATAAATGAGTAAAGTAATTCAAGTGGTTAAGACGCTGATTTGGGTTCAATAGCAGGCAAATGTGTTCCCAGTTAAAGGCACTTCCAGTTACTATGCGCTTGCTTGCATCAATAAGAAGAAACAGCTTATTTTAAAAAAGCCAAGGGTTTGAAGTGTGCCGCGTGAGCGGCAGATTGAATAATAGTGCATAGTTATTATATTATCACAAAACTGTTCCAACCCATGAAGTGATTCCAACCCTCGAAGAGTATCTATTCCAAAAAAAGATTAGGTTAAGTTATTTGAGCACGGGAAAACTTCATAGGCTATCTGCATAAGATGAGAGGCATTCGTGGAGGTCCTTTCTGAGAGAAACTGGCTCATATCCACATTATACATAGAGAACCCCCCCCAAAAAAAAGCAACTCTGCAGTCAGAACAATTGCCTGCTGTTGAACCCAAATCAGCGTCTTAACCTCTTGGCCATTGGTGAGGCCAATACTCAGGAAAGAGACTAATGCGTTAAGAATTTACATAACTGTACATCACCCTGTGTATTTTGCTCGTCACCAGCTGGTAGAGTGATTAGTGACGCTAACTGCCGTACCGATGGGTCCAGATTCGAAGTCCGATGAGGGCATGGATGTTCGTAAGCGTATAGTGTCTGTGCGGGAAGGAGGGATTCAAAACACACGGCAAGCAGAACGTTTTCTCAAGAACCTGTTAGTAGGGTGAGAGACCCTCAAACGATACCCTGGGATGCTCTTCATCAAACCTGCGATGGAAATACACAGTTAGCACGGCGGAGCTATACATAAACGAAAAATGATGAACTTCTGGTGTCACGCCCACTTCTACCTGCACCTGTATATTTTGCTCTATTACAAAATGCTTATATATCTTTCTATAAAATGTTGTTATACATAGCAGTAAAAGAAATTTCAATGTACTTACGTAATTTAGTGTCTCATAATTAGTTATTCATGTCTAAATAATGCAAAAATGCATACATGTGTGTGTGTCTGCATTTCTGATGTTCATAGCCTGCCAATTTGTACAAAATATGGAATATATTCCTTCGAAACTACTACTGCAAATTTATAAAAATTAACTCTGATTGCAATTTGAATTTTTAATTATTTATAAGCATTTTGCGTACTTTTAAATTTTACATTGACACGTTTTTCTAACAAAGTCAGACTGCCTTTTACATTCAAATATTAAATTTATATTATTGTAAACCTCTGCATTATTTTAAAACTTTTGCGCATTTTTCTCCAAACATATGACTGACTACCTTTCAATAAAAATCACAACTTACGGGAAGTCTAGGCGTGGCACGCTGCCTATAGTTGGTAGGGTGCTTCTGCAGACACTTCCCAGAGATCCCTTTCTCTCCCGATACTGACTAAACATGCTAGTCTCCACGGGGTGGTGAGTATCTGGAGTTCCCGGACAGGACCGGATTCCCCCTTTCCGCTTCCCGGAAGTGGGATCCTTGAGGGGGCTGTGCTCAGAGGAATCAGTAGCATCTTCGTGAGTGTCATGATAACTGCAGTCGTCGTCATCGTCGCTGTCAAAGTCTTCGATTACACTTTGTTCGAATACTTTGTTTTCTATTCTCTGGTTGTCAGCTTCTGGTTCGAATTGAAGAGATTCGGATAATTCATCGGTACCTGACGCAAAAACTGAAACAAATAAAATTCTATACTTCATACCAGAATAATTAGTTCGATTAAAGTTTATATTTCGAATTTTGGTCGTTTTATCGTGTCTTCCAGTGTCAGAAAATAAGCACAAAAGAACAAAAATAATTAATTTGCATAATTATCCGAAATCAGTTTTGCATTATGAAATTCACTCGTATTTTTATTCTTCATAATTTTGAAGCTGTTAAAAGATCGTCATGTTAAATTTGCATGTTATCCCTCGATGATAGGAATCCCCAGATTTCGGATTTTCCCTTTTGTTAAAATTTCTATTATAAATGCTACATTATTTTTACATTTAAATTATTTTTATGCTACGTTCTATTAGAAAATCCCGCAAAAGTAATCTGTGAACTTGCCTCATTTTAAAATGTCAGCTAAATGGTTAAACTTTAAATTACCCTAAATTTTGCTGCATTTTTGGAATATGAAAAAAATTCGTTTTCACAAATTACATAAAATTACTCTTTAATGCCTACAAACAGTTACGATTCTGAATGATCCGCTTTTGATAACGAGCAATAGCAATATGAAGAAATTTGCATACGTGCAATTCGCTTAATATGTAAAATACCGTTGTTTTAAGTGGCAGTTGTGATTAAAATAACTGCATTAAAGGCATTTATAAAATTCGATTGGTTTGTACATATAAATTTCAACTAAAAATTAATATTTATTGATTTTGAAGGCGAAACTGATACTTTCTGATTATTCGCATCCCCACCGAAAAGTCGCGAAAAGTATTCACGAGGCAATGCAATATATTCCCCAAAATACTAATTTGGCAGCCCAAGATGTCGCCCAAAAGTGTTTATGTGGCAACCCACGTACGCAAGTAGCCCATGTCTCTTCAGGAAATTTGTACTTTAGAAATTCATTCGTCATTTTTCAGCTTAGTGTTTCTTTTGCATTGATTATATTTGCTTTTTTCATAACGAATCGTGATGGAAGTGTAAAGTCCGCGGGTTAATGAAAAAACCTTGCTTATTTGCAGAAATATGGCATTTTGCCCAACAATCGAGAGTACAAGCATTCGCATTTAGACATGTTATACTTTTATAAGACATGTTTTATTGAAATGCAATGTGAAAAATAGAAATTTTTAAAATGGGGGTCGATTGGTTTGAAGAGAGCTGTATCTGGTTAATTGTAATTCAATTTATTTATAATTGTCGAATTTGCATTGCCGAGTTGTGGATTATGCCAAACTGCTCAATTTTCCGATGTTTTATTGAATGAAAACAGATCGTTATGCACATAACAATAATAGTGCAAAAAATAACAGGATTTCTCGAAAAAGATACGTGTTTTATTACTTGCTTTCTTAATTTTGCTAATTGATTGCTTTTTCGTGGAATTCTTAGCGCACAGCCATTATCAAAATGGCTTTGATGCCTTTGGCGTATTAGTTTGGCAATAAATGAGTGGTCACGGTTCAGAAATGCTCTCCAAAGTCGCCAAGGGATGCGGATAATCAGAAAGTACCGCAAAGTTGTTTGTACAATTATTAGTATAAATACTTGAACAGTGAAAGTTTCCACAATTTATTTCACGAATGCTTTAAGAAATTTCTTTCCCCCTCCACAATAAAAGTATAGTCCGAATAAGAACTAAGAAATAAAAGTTATAAGTAGAGATGACTTTTTTCCCTATTTTAAAATTGTAATTTAAGGAAATGATAGGTATGCATATGCAGTTATTTATAACTCTGATAATCTTATTTGAGAGATGCACCGTTTCCTCTTTTTATATGCATGTATGCAATTTTGTTTTTGGAAACTTGAAATAAGTTTTATTGAAACTGCATACAATGTAGTTTGTTTCCCTTTTTATAACGTAATTAGAATTAGAGGAGTTCTAGAAAACGTAAATACCTTTTGACTAATGCACTGCTATCAGAACCAAAATAAATTGGTTTTTATAGCTTGAAATATTTTTAACTAATATATTAATATTAATTAATATTTAATTCGTTTATATTAATTTATATTAATTAATCGTTTATATTAATTAATATTTAATTCGTTGCTTGAATAGTTTTGTTTATTAGATTACGGCAAAGCATTCGAGAGCTATCTCCCTTAAGGGAGGGATGCCTTGTGAAGGCTTTCTAAGGAAAAACTGTCGTTTAACGTTACACATGGGGAAAACCACGAAAACACCCATGCAGCCAACCCGTTCGCGGGATTCGAACCTCGGACCGAACTACCAGTGTTCAGCGACGTTACCGCTCGGCCGCTGGTGGACGCTTTGAAATTATGAAAACGTATCCAATATTTTATCAGTAAATTAACAATATCACCTCAGAAAAGCTTTAACGCTAGAATTGTAGAACGTTGCTAAGGGCAGTTACCTCTCAAAAGCGACGAAATAGAATTTTAAAGATTTACTTAACTTTAAAGATTTACCTTTAACTGTCACATGCCTTCGTTAAGACTGCTCATTTACAAATCTTCTACATTTATAAATTATCAGTAACGGAAAATGAATGTTTGATTGACTGTCAATTGTAAGAAATATTGGCACTTTAGCCAGCCCTGAGAGATAAACCGCCAAATATTCCTTTTAACACCAACTTTTTTCCGTCATTCTCCGAGCCTATATTTAACAACCGGCGTTTGGTTATTTTACAGATTCCGGTAAACTTACCAACAAAGGCAACTAGAACTTGCCCATAACGAGGTAACAAACTGTTCTAATTTCTACAGGAAAAAGAAATTAACGCGAGTTAGGCGAAAATCACGATGATGGGTTTCGAAGATTGTATTTAATTATGGTCCTACATTTCTATCTGACACAACAAAAAACACATGAGTTTAATATCTGAAGTTCATTTACGGCTGGAGGGAATCCCCTATTCAATGTTTCTACACCCTCGCAAATGTCATACGAAAACAGTATATTTTTTAACATTTATTTCTGTACGTCATATTAAAAACAGTGCTTTGATTTAAATGCTTTCGGCTTTTTTAACTGGAAAGCACCTTTCCTTCTCATTTAAACAATAGTTTCTTCGTTTGCATTTCAAATGAAACGAGTGAAAGTTGTTTGTTTAATTTTTAGAATGCTTTCCTTACTGACGCTTGCCCACCAGCGGCCGAGGGGTAAAGTCGCTGAACACTAGTATTTCGGTACGAGGTTCGAATCCCGCGAACGGGCTGGCTGCATGGGCGTTTTCGTGGTTTTCGCCATGTGTAACGGTAACGAGCCAGGGTCCTTAGAAAAGCTTCACGAAAGGCATCCCTCCCCTTAGGCAGATAGCCCTCGTGTGCTTTGCCATAATTAAATACACCAACACCTTACTGACGCTAAAACCAATTCTTTAACCTTAGCTTAAGTTAGGCGTGGTGTCCCTTCACCAAAATGAAAAAAAAAAAAAAAAAATTGCTGTTGGCGACATTTGTGCCCAGCTAAGGCAAAAGTAGCAAAATATTATTTAACAGTGTAATTTTCTGAAGTGGTATCGCTAAGCGATCACTAAAATCAGTCATTTAAAGAAATACGAGAAAAAAGGTTAAAGAAAAAGCTAAAATCTTTCTTACCTGGAAGGGCTTCTTCATCTAGTAACGATTCTACTTCACCTAAATTACCTTGTTCGTCTGGACTCGAGAACTACCAAAGAAAATGAATTTTTGGTTTATTCTTCATATTCAAAATATGAAAAATAAGCATATAGGCTTCACTGAAAATGAAACCATCTCTCTCCACTTTAGTAACAATTGTTAGATCTTGCATTGTTCGACGTTTTAGAAAATAGTTTTAAAATAGAATATTAAATATCTTTATAAAAATATTAATAACAGAAAATGTATAAATTTAAATATTTATTACTAAAAATATAAATGCTAAAATACTTTTGTACGAAATCTCAAGTTGGATATTCATACGGTATTGGAGTTGGTATACACAACAAATCTTTTTGCTTTCATAAAACGGTTGTTGTCAATACTAGTAGTTTTGATGGGGAACTAGAAGGATTCATATCGCCTTGTAATGTATTTCCTATCCTAGAACCTCTTCCTTCAAAGCGGTCATCATCTTGGAATCTAAATCAAAACTTGCGACTCAAAACGTGTGCATGTGCCCCGACATCTTTGAAGAGTCTTACCAACTCAATAGCACTACAGTAGATACCAGTTTATTGTGGAATACAGGGAAATGTGAGTGTAGATTTTCTAACACAGAAAGGATCTAATGTCTTCCACCCAAACCCAGAAATCCTATAAATTTTCATTCTGTTGAGAGATTGATAAATACAGAATTTAGCAAGAATTGTAATTGCGATTTGGCTTAAAAACTAGAGGTGAGGCTTCGCAGTATCTTCTGGACAAGCGATATAATATCCCAAATTTCTCCTTGCGATACTCAGTGACGATACTGAGTGTGACGATACTCAGTGACGATACATGTGAAGACATGTGGCATCACTCTGTATTTTTGCCTTTTTTTCCTCATTTTTTTCCTCATGCGATTGCCTCAGTAATCATCTCTGTAACATATGAGGCAGAGACTCGTCATGTACTTTATCCTAATCAAATAACAAAACATTTAATATTTGATTCAGGATTTACCCAGTGTGGTTTTCGTTTATAAATCCGGACTATCCATAGTCAAAGAACATTTAGACTCTTTTTTTCTGCAGTTAATAATCTCAATTATGCCATCCAGAAGTGAAGTACTGGAAAGCAAGGTGGATAAATGCTTAAGTGACAAAAGCCAGGAATTTGTAAATAAATAGAGGAAAAGTGAAATGTGACAGTCAAAGCTTTTCATTAAAGCCAAAAGCAATATTTACAGATTATCTAAAAATATTGCCAAACAAACAAAAACGAAAACTAAAATTATCATAATCAGAACAAGGAAAAAAATCTGAATGCTTTCAGATTTTATATTATGCGCAAAAGGGCTTTTTTTTTTCATTTACACATACATGCACATTTGGGTTAAAATGTTTAAAATCAGATTATCTTTCGAATTTTTCATCGATAATCTGGCGTGCTGGAGATAAAAATATATTCTGCACAGTGTGTTGCCACTGCTCAATTTGAAATTGTTGCGTTTCTTAATAAAAAATTCGTTAACTTTTAAAAATATGAAACAGGTAATAAAACAAATTCTAAATTCAAGATTTGGGCTACCAAGTGCCCATATTCAGGCGAAGGACTACATTATTCAAAATTTGATGGTTCCAGGTATCCTTCGTTTCTCGCAGTGAGAGAAACATGCAAACATTTATGCAGGTTCTTCATTATTTAATTTCATTAAATATAATACACAACGATACTGTTTGGTGGAAACAATATGAAAAATTATAGAACCGTTTATAGTGATTCGACGCAAAATGCCGTTTCTACACTGCTGGCCATTCAAAATAGCAACATCAGGAAGGAATGATTTGACAAACGTCAAAATCACATGAAAGGAAGAAAAGGTTGGGATATGCAAATTATTAGCATTTTGGCGCATTTAAACTACGCAGGAGGGAGAAACGACATCTGAAGCACTGCATAAGACAAAAGTTGTGAAGTGGATTTCTCATCCGGAAAGCGCTTTGTTAGATCGGAGTCTGCTCAGAATATCGTGTTAGGCCTCGAATAATAAGAAGAAATGCTTACCAGCAAGTGCCGTAATTCGATAAAGGCACAATCGTTGCCTATCGTTCTATGATATCGCCCCTCGCACTGGTCGACATCCAACCACTGGTATGAGAATATGAATCAAGGGGTTGCTGAGGGTTATACTGAATGACATGCACGATCTCAACACCCTCCCATGGCTAACGCCCGAGAAGACAGACATATCGTGAGGTCAGCCCTGCAAAACCATACAACTGCATCACGGTCCATTAATCAGGAAATGGGCATGTTTGCAGCATGCACAGTATCCGCTCCTACGGTGCAGCAGTGTAAACTGTCAGCACGACGACCATTCCCTTGAAAATGCAGCATAGAAAGAAACGGTAAATCTGGTGCGCCGAACGACAAACCTGGATACAAGAGTGGCATAATGTTGTTTTTTCAGACGAGTCCCGGTTCTGTGTGCAGTACTCTGATGGCCGTATACGTGTTTGGAGGCTCCGAGGAGATCGTACGTCGCCTGCTTGCATTCGATATCCGCATAGGGGCCCTGCACATGGTGTGATGATTTGGGCAGCCATTGGGTACACGACACGCACATGTCTAGTTCGAATCGATGGTAATTTGAACGCAAATCGGTGCGTTTATTACATCTGACATCAAGTAGTTGTGCCCCATCTTCGAGGCCTGCCAAACGCCATCTTCCATCCATCAAGATAATGAAAGACCACAGGTTACACGCAGCGTTCTCACATTCCTCGATACGCAGAATATTCGATTGCTGCCCTGGTCTATACAATCTCCAGATCTGTCATTATTGCAAACGTCTGGTCATGGGTTGCTGAGAGACTGGTACGCGACCCCTCTCCAGCTAATACGGTTGATGAAGTGTGGCATAGATCTGAAGCAGCATGGAAGGAACTGCCCGTTTCTGTCGTCCAAGTCCAGTTCGACTCCATACCCAACTAGGTAAGGGCCGTTTTTACTGCCAAGGGTGATAGCTGTTTTTTCGTACCCCAAACAACTCATAAATTTAATCATTCTGTCCTCATGCCATACTGTTTTACGTATTATAAATATCTGTTTTGTATTTGCTTTTCTTTATGCTGTTGCAATTTTAATGGCCAGCAGTGTAGATTAATAACCATTCTGGGCTAAAAAGAATTCAGTATCTTCTAAAAGACAACTAAAATTTTAGTTTAGTATTATACAATATATTTAAATTAAAAAATCCCATATAAAAATAATTTTCGCTGAGAAAATTAATATAACTAAGTGTTCATTATTTGTAAACATATCTACCAGCTACCATTTGTTTTTCCTCATAACTTTCATGTTAAAAATCTGTTATATCGTAAACTAAAAATTTTTCAAAATCTGACAAACGGCGGAAAGTTCTATTATACTTAATGCTCCTACATGCAAAAGTTCTGGGGAAGATTAACGACTTCAAGGCTAACTTTTTGTCCTGGAAAATCCTTTTCCCGAACTCCATCCGATAAAACTATTTTTACTCCTTGCAGTGAGTCAAACTTTCGACAGGGAATCGATTTTATTCCTTTTTTAATGTTTTAGTTAAAGTTCTTCGAAAAATCTGAGGCAACTCGACTTTAACAGATAATCATTTATTGACTTATTTTATACCTAAAACATTTTAAGTTAAAAACCAAAAACATTTATTTTAAAAATTATAATGAAAAGCGAAAACTTTGCATTTTCTGTAATAGTTCAATTTATAAGCTCGTAAATCCTTTTTCTAGAAGAAAAAAATGTGAATCAGCTACTGTAATAAAGCATTTTTATTAAAACAACGAGGTTTGGCTTTTAAAAAAACACTGTTGATAATTAATTTTTAACGGGGAAGATCATAAAAATGTTGTCCAAAATACCTGAAATATTTTGATTAATTTAGGTTAGTTGCAGAGGGAATTTGTTGATTACTCAATGGCTGGCTGTTTTGTTTGGAGAGGCTTCATACTAGACAACGTTATAAAGGTAACTAGCTCGTTCTCATGTATATTCGGAAATTAGTCAAACCTTTATACGTCCAACTTACTGAGACCCAAAAACCCAGTTAGAGGAATTACTAGTATTTAATTGTATTCTGTAGTCGGCCATCGGTTAACCCTTTGCGGCACAGTGTGTCCGGTCTGGACACACCTAAAATTTTCCTTCTGTACGCACAGAAAAATTGAATGAAAAAGGATTTATAGGTTACTATATGTTACTCTGAACCTTCTTTAATTATGGCAGCTCAACACAAACCAGTCCACATATTTAGCCATGTTTAGTTTTTTTAAGACCCTCATTTTCAAAGAAATCTTCCAGATTTTTTTTAGGGTATAAAAAGGAATTGGTTGAAAAGAAATTCTATGTTATTTTTTGCTATATGCTAATCTCCTTATTCTATATAGTTTAAATTTTTACTTTGATCTTGCCTAAATCAAACGGCGAACCCTAGGTGTGCCCAGATCGGGCTCACCGATAATCTAGGACAGTTGAGAGTCTGGGCACACTCACAGAATTAAACGATAAGTGCTATCTTCACCAAATTTTTGCTTGTGTACTCCTCTAGGCCTAATTAGACTGCCTACCTTTTTTTTTTTTATTTTTAAATCAAAACTCCAACTTTAAAAGGTAGCGTGCCGGAAAGGGTTAACAAACACCTTCCCTGTCTGCAGACATGATAGTTGATTTATCTGACATGATACTACTGCGTTTAACGATTAGCCTATCTGCTAGCTTTCCCGAAAGCTATTCTAGTTTTAGATCATATGCGTGAAATTCGATGAATTTGTTAATGTTTCATAAATGTGCCAGAAATAGTGCTATTCTTCAAATCTCTGATTATATCGCATACTCGTGGCGGGCAGTCTGGTTGATTGAATTAGCCCTTTGTATTTGTAACAAAATACGTTATTTTCTTTTTTGGATAAAGAATTCTTTTGTTGCGATTCTCTAGATTTTTCGAACTGTTTCGGACAATATTCTGCTACGTTTTAGATCAAATTGTCTATAAAATACTTTTTCCAAGGTTTGTGAAATTTAAAGCGGCATTTTTTTTATCGAATTTAATAACCTTTTTACGAGGTAATCAAAGTAATGGTCATGTGTTAAAGTCATTTTTCAGGAAAAAAATAAAATACTGTTCCACACTTAATTTCTTATATAAGTACGCATTCCTTAATAATTTCTAGTAGCTGATCATAAAAATGGCATTAAAATAATCTAACACATAAGACTTCATGAACTGTCTATTAAATTATGCACATTTTTGCTGCATTTCATTTAAATTTATTTCCCCGAATTTCATTAGAATTATATTTCTCATTCAATAAATTCAGTTCTCACTTCCTGGCAAAGCAAATATGCATAGCAACTCACAAAACGTCTGGCAAGACGTTAAGTTATAGTGACGTTAAGACGCTCAGAGAGTATAGTGATTAGAGGAGCCTGTTGCGATAAAGAAGGGCTCGGGTTCGAATCTCGGAGAACACATGGCTGTAATTGTCCGTCTCTTATAGGAGATAACGGTGGCTCACTAATTAGGTGCTTCCAGAATAGAATGGACACCGCTTCCGGCCTTAGTAGTGGCTAAGTCGTCTAATTGCCATCCAATGAAGAAAAACTCAAGCATCTTCATTAAAACTGTTAAGGTACTAAAAAACTAAGCCACTAAGACATTGAAGTTGGTGCATCGAGTGACTTAATTGATTCTACTAAGAGTTTCAAATGTAGACAAATTTACGCTACGTTAGGCTTAGCTCCACTTACACTTTTAAATTGTTGATAATTCTACAACTATTGCATGCTAATTAACTAAAGGCATAAAAACCTTAACCGAAGCATAAGAAAAACATAATTCAGTCACTTTTAAAGAAAAAAAAAAAAAAGTGCACAGTTTACCATCATAAATAATCTCAGTTCAAAGAGTCGGGTAATAATTTGGTTTCTTTCCCTCTTTATATATATTACATATATATAGTGTAAGATAAAAAATATGTGAATCAAAATTATAATTTAAACTAACAGTAACCCTTTAAATTATCCCTCTCTCTTCTAAAAATCGTAATAACTTCTCTAGATTGCGTCATTTCTAGATCATTCCATTTAGCTTGGCTTACGCTGCGCTAATGATGTAATAAATGGGAACTGAAACTTTTAACTCTAACCAAAAACCTTTCTCTTCGTGTGCTTCCATATTGGATAACTTTTCACTTCAGGTTCTCTCTGTGCGCTGCTTGGACGTAATTTCGCTTTCTATCTCAATAATATCAAAAATGTAAATGTTTTTGAATAGGCACGACTGGACTGCCTACTGAACTGTGGCGACAAACATCAATTGCAAATAAAAATGGAATTAAAACTGTCTCGACTGCCAAGTTTTTTAGATGCTGCGAAGTCAACATATTAGCATACTACGCAATCAGAATTCTTCCTCTTCAATATGAATCTACTATCTATCCTAGATAAGTGACAAGTGACGGAGGACGTGGGCACTACCAATTTACCATTATGGTTAATTAGATATATCCTATTTAGCTATTACGCATGGAAGCTGCTCCGTCTTTCACTTGCTATTATTACACACACACACACATATATACATATACGTTGCACGGTGCTGCCGATTACAACAAAAAAAGGGGGAGTGCAAAACTACATGTTATAGCAGTCCCATATAGAAAATTTCAGTGTTCTAAGGCAAAATTTTTTTTTGAGTTATGCGAGACACATACATACGTACGTACGTTCGTACAGATGTCACGGAAAAAAACTCTTCTGAATCCAATTTAAATCCATTTTACAATCCGTTTGTGAAAAAGATGTTTAGAGTGTTCGTACGTACAGATGTCACGCAAAAACATTTTTCAAATAGATTCAAGGGCGGTTAAAATGGATATTTTCGTTAAAGTATGGTATTCGAAATTTTTTGCGATTACAATACTTCTTTTTATTCTCAGAAAGAAGCAAAAAGCTTTCCTCATTCGTTTATATCATAACAGTGACGAATCCATACGAGCCAAACATTGTTTATGGGTGTTAAAATTTTAAATGAATTTTGCTACAACTTCTAAGAACCAGATTCATCCTCCGGATGTAAAATTTATTAAGAATTTGTTTTCATATCTTACGGGAAAACAGTAAAAATTTATAGAGCAGTGTTATTCTTAATTTCCGCTCATGCTTTACTCTGTCTGACAAGCTTCAAATTCAGAACGGAATTTGGCGAATTTTGAATACTCGGATTCTGAAATTTAAACAATTAAACAAGACTATGCATGTTGCGAAGTGAAGTTTCTGAATTATTCTTTAGCAAAATAAAAAAAAGCTACATAAATATATTAAAATCATTTTTGTATAATATTCCATACAAGTTTCTATCCGTTTAAGCGCTTTAGAATATTCAGATACGAATCAATTTGTATGAATTCACTGCGCAATTTTTTCTAAAATATTTTACGATCTTTATGAAATTGCGACATTTACTGCAACAACACATTCACGAAATGTTAGAGAAACGTATTTTATTTTCAAAGTTTTCTTTCTTGGCAATACTTTTATTAATTAGGAAAGCCAGATTGTTTCGACAATAATCAGCGTAACAAAATACAAACTGTTTGACAAATACTTAATTAAGTTTGGTTCATTTGATTATGGCAAAGCACTCGACGGCTACCTGCCTAAAAACATGCCTCCGTGGAGAGCTTTCTGAGAGAAAATTGCTCGGATACAGTTCACAGAAGGGGAAAAACCATGAAACCACCCATGCACCAGCCCGATCGCCAAGATTCAAATCCCGGACCCGAGCTACCAGTGTTCATAGACTTTACCACTCGGGGCCTCGGATGAGTCACTTAAAGATAAATTATACATAATTGTAAATATCTCCGAATGGCTCAATAACAAACATGTTGGACATCGAGAATAATTTTAGTCTAGGAAATGAATTAGAAAATGTACCTTTTCCTGGACGTCAACGAAAAGTGAACTGGACACCGAACTTGTATCCGGACTGGATGCAAGATCCACTCGGACATCTGGAGTTCGATTTGATTCTTGGCTACAGGACGATACCAAACTCTCTCCACTCTCCGATTCAACCAACGAACCTAGGACTACAAAGAAAGACATATAAATATAATTTATTAAAGAAGTAAAATAATTACTAAGGAGAAGAACCAGTTATTACCCAGTTTGGAAATATTTTTGCCACTCACTTGGTAATATCTTGAACTACATCATGTATTTCATGTGATCAAGAATTACAGATATTTTTAAAAATACCTTAAGACTATTCTAAATCCCAAAATGCTGTGAATTATGAATGCGTTTAAGTAATGGAAAATCATTATTTTAGTTCTTTAACTGCATTTGTAATTTTTCGATAGTTTTATAGAATTTTGTACTTTTGTAGCGAAGAATCAATTTAAGAATACTGAGAGTAAAAAAAAATAACATTCTATGATGTAGTACTATTCTATGGTGTATTCTATGATATACTTCACAGCGAACATCTACTTATCCCGAAATAAAAACTCATAAAAATCTACAGGAACTGTTACTTTTTGCTTTCTAGAGACATTCGAAATATTCAGCAAAAGATGAGGCGAGTCCCAAAAGTAACATAAAAGTTATTGTCTATTCATTCAAAAATTTAAGATATAAAAATATAAAATTTTAATTTTTCAATACAGTTTACAAAAAGTATTGTCAGCTGAAAAGGGATTCATGGTAATAATAATGCAAATTTATCTTTCAAGTGCTAATTATAAGATTATTTATAATTTTGTCCCCATCCCCCCAAAACATTAACTATGTAACCTACGCAAAATTTTATACAGAGAAACAAACTCTTCCTGGTTTTTAAAGTTCTCTCAAAATTCAATCTGTGCGCTAAGCCTTTTTTTTTCTCTACATGCGTAAAATTACTTCAAGATCGATGAAAACCATAACATCAACGATACTGTTATGATAGTAAAAATCTGACAACTCTCCACCAGAAAAATATCACATGGGATAAATCCGAAGACTGGAGTGGCTACTGCAATAACGCGTCATCGTGTTATCATACAGTATCATATTGTTACGTTACATTTCTTCACATTAGGGTACGTTCGGGTTTCGTTTATTTGGAGTGAATAACGAGAACAGCACTTGATGAAGTATCGAAAACACACTTTATTGGCCAGTATTATTCAAGAAAGTTTCAAAGTCGGGGAAGAACTACTATAAATACGCTGACACAAACAGCGACACAGCCTCCAAGTTATCAGGCTATAACGGTGTAGACTGCTTCAGGGCAAAGCACCAGAGTACAGCTCCCGACTCTCTTCTGTCGTTCTCAGAACTCTACGTACTCTCGAGACTCTCCACGCTACCACTCGCGATGCATTCGATACACTAGAGTACAGTTCCCGACTCCTCGACTCCGTTTCCGGAGCTCAACGCATTCTAAGATCAAATTCGACGATGCACCAACTCGCGATACTCTAAGAGATTCTCTCGACGACCGACTCGGCACTAGGCACTCACTGACTGACTATCAACTCGATGGACTCCGCACGGACTGACTGACCCACCGCGTACCAGCAGGGTTTATATAGCTTTTGGCTTGTGTTAAAGAACATTCTGGGCTAAAGCGGTAAAAATTCATTCCAGAAGGTTCTCCATCCGTCTATGGCATTTCGCCAAATGGGCGATTTCTTGCCAAATGTGGCAACCCCTATTTCCCCTGCCATTTTCTGGCAATCCTAAACCTGCTTTGCGGAGAAGATATCTTACCGCGCTTGGACAATTCGTAACAATATAGTATAACATCGTTGTGTATCATATATAACGTTACAGTAAGTGTTTTAATGAGCCAGATATCTGCCCTTTTGAAAGAGGCAATATTACTGTTAACAATCAACTATAACTACCTCTCCAGAATGTCTAAAGAATCAATATCCCAACTGATTACACAGATGTTTGCACACCAGTAAAAGCCGAAACAGAGTGTTACGTGCGTATGATTTGGTAATAGATTGAATGCAGTTATTCAATTCAATTAATAACAGTTATTCAATTCTGATATAAATTAAAATTATACAGGGACTGAACGGAAATATCGCCAAATTACCACCAAATTGGGCAACTTTTCGCAATTTCTTGCCAAATTAGGTCGCAAAAATTAATCGCCAAAAACCGTTGCCAGCTTTTTTGATGTCATATAATACAAAAAATGGAACTGTACCAACCTATAGCAATTGTGTTAAAACATAGTGACTGTGCCAAACTCCAAATTGAGTCCTATTAGTACCACAGTGTACTCTAAACTTTAGTGTAGCCTCAACTCTCGCAAATTTGAACTATAGTGCAGACTGTACTTTCAACGAACTCTAACACGAATCCCTGGCACCATAACTCTACATCTGGTACTCATTGCTTCATCTTTGTGTTTAAGTACTCACAGCACACTTGCAAACACAAGGATACCAGCAATACACATATGACTCCCTTTACCCCATTCTGTATTTTAGCATTTTTTAGTATTTTAGTATTTTACTTTTGTATTACTATCATATATGCGTCTCTCTTCATATTTTTCTTAAAATCAATGCATTTTTATGTTCGTACCTGTTAGTATTTGTTTGTTTTTGTCTGTACATGTATCTAACTCTTGTGTTTGTTTTGTATATTTTTATGTATATGTGTTATTCTAACGGCCATGCACACCCACAAAGCTATTGTCACCTAACCATTGTCAAACAACAATCCTCAGCCCCGGTTTGGCCATCTATTGATCTTTATATCTGTATTATAAACTCCCGAGGCAACCTCACGGGGTCCCAGGGAGTTGTTGTTCCTAGATAGGGGAGGGCGTGGGACACACGCCTGTTTACCTATGTTAAACACCAGGCGCCCCCGTCCTCCGTCACCTGTATCTGTTTGCCTTCGAAATCGGTTGAGTTATTGACTAAATCTATGCCAAAGACGAGGTTGTTGCTCTGCTAATTTTTGCCAAATTTTATATATCGCGAAAAAATCCGCTCTAGTTTTATTAGTTTGGCAAAAATAAATGGAACCATTAGTAAATAAAATTCTTAGCGCTCCTTTTATACGTAATTACATTCTTTTCCACACCAAGTGACCTATTAAGAGGAAAAGAAAACGAAAAGAAGTGGTAAACAGATTGACATTATGAACTAAAGCAGTCTTCTGTAAATCAAGGACTTCCTCATCTGAGTTCATGTCGAAATGGTAATTACAGTCTTCCTCGCTAACGGATGAAAAGGTCAGCAGTAGATGGGCAGAACTTTTAGCAATACAAATAAATTCCTAGCAGAGCTTATATTCATTAGAAAGCTTCTACGGCAACGAAAATGATTGAAGAAAGAATGCAATAAAGATAGAGGTATATTTGTATTATTACAGATTCTATATATATATATATAATTATATATATGCAAAATTTTGTTCATACTTTATGAACACAACTTTCTATTTAAATATTCTCTCTAGCATTTTGAGATAAAGATTTGGCATTTTGAACATGACCGCCTATTACTATTTTCGTTTAATTAGAATGCAGAATAAGAGTAGGAATGGTAAAGAGTAAGAATATGAGCAGGAAACCTGGAAATAATTTTCAAAATTGGTAGATGGTTCAAAGGAATTACAAAAATCTCTTTCCTGTGTACACAACATGACTTCCTTGTACGGAATATTAAATTATACGCATTTTTTCTTGCATTTCATTTAAAGTTATTGGGTTGAATTAAATCTACTTCGTCGACAACGCATAAACCACAATAGAATAAATGCATTCTTTAAAATTCATTCTATGTGTTTACCATAGCGACACTCTGGCGCTAGGTTCACTTAACAGTATTATATTTCGCTCATATATAACTCAGAATGCACAAAATTTATATCATTTAAAGAATTATCTAAACGTTGCCACATGTTCTATTCAAATACTATAATAAAGCTAGAACGATGTATAAAAGAAATTAAGCAAACAAAACAAAAACAGTTTTTCACAGACCATTGAGTATTTCTCATTCAATTTATTCAGTTCTTACTTCGCGACAAGGCAAAAATACAATAATCAAAATATCTGTATTAAAAATTACTAATTATTAAAAATTAAATTATAAAAAATTAAGTAAATCTTAAGCACTTATTTCCTCGAAAAAATTCCAGACAGGATTAAGCATGATTTAATTCGCAATAATAAATTAAGGCCTTATTTTTATTGTTGCGAAGCTACGTTTCTCTAGATTGGCAACAAATCCACTATCCTGCTGTTTCAAATGTAAACAAGCAATGGCGGCCATCAAAAAAATTATTAGGCTTAGCGGCACTTAAACAACTTTAAAATTCTTGATAATTCTAAAAAATATTACATACAGATTTACTAAAGGCATAAGAACCTTAACCGGAACATAAGAACAACATAATTCAATCCTTTTTAAAGCAAAAAATGTACAATTTACAAACATATAAGAGTAAAGAAACTGAGATCACTGAGCCGGGTAACAGAGTGGATATATATATAAATATATTTATATACGTTTGGCGCGGCCGATTGCAACCAAAATACGAGGTGCACATCTACATGTTATAGGAGTTCTATATACAAAATTGCAACGTTCTGCGGCTACTCGATATTGAGTTATGCGAGATGCGTACGTACATACGTTCGAACAGACGCCACGAAAAATTCTCTTCAGAATTCATTTTAAAGCAGTTTTATAATTTTTTTAGAGAAAAATAGTCTTTTATTCTGTCCTTACGTACAGATATCACGCAAAAACATCCTTAAATTGCATTCGAAAGCGGTCAAAATGAATATTTTCGTTGAAATATGCTGCCTGAAACTTTTCGCGATTACAATACTTCCTTTTTACTTCGTACAAGGAAGTAAAATGGTACTTTTAGTATGTTAAAGTTGAAAGTGAAAAAGCGTCTAGCTGAACGTAAAAATTAAGAAACCTGATGTGAACAAACACCACATGACTTCCTTTTACGGTATATTAAATTTTACACACTTTTTGCTGCATTTCATTTAAAATTACTTCCTTTAATTTCATTGGAGATATATTTCTCATTCAATTAATTCAGTACTCGCTTT